GGTTCATCTCAAAGGTTTTAAACTAAAACTTGGCCTGTTTGCTGGGCAACTAACTAAGAATGACTTATCTTATTGCTTTAAATTGAACTTAGTGCACTCAGTTAAATGGAGCTAAGCTTAAGAGTTATGTAGATGGCCTGAGAAAACTGCACTTTGAATTCTGATTCCCCCCCCCTGAGGGTCGATATAGAGAACTCTGTGAAGCTACGGGCTAGGATCTGTACCTATGCTGTTTCGGTTACGGGAGGTATAAAATTTATAAATTTGGTGGTTCTGAAGGCCCTGGGGAAGGTCACTTATTGGCCGGCCTCGGGGTCTGGTATGTCCTAACGTGGCGTGATGCTAGTAGCCCTGGGGGGTAGCATCCCCGGGTATGCCTGGAAAATGTCTCACTGTGACAGGCAGCCACTGGTAGGTAGCAAATTAACAACCAGTTCCATATGGGTGATTTTTCCTCTCTCTCTGAGGGGTTAGAGCAGACATTGAACTTCCGCACCTGGTTCTGAGGAGTGTGGGGGGGGGAACCTTTAGTGCGATTAAGTTCGCGGATCAGGGAATATCCAAAATTTCTTGTTGTTGAATTCTGATTTCAAAATTTCAGTGCCATTCAAACAGACTTGGATATTTTCAATATGCCATCACCTTTCACATTCAACCTAAACTGTGAGGCAATTAGGGGGATTTGCAGCTTGAATTAATTAAGTTACAATCAAACAATCATCTCAAGCAGTTATTTTTCAGTGCTCCAAAATTAGAGTTTTACAGATCTTTATCAAAAGCAAGTTTCCAAAATTTAAGATCTCACACCTAGGAAATTGGTGCTGTGTATATGTTTAGAATACTGACGTATAAATTTAAATTATTATGTTAAGAAGATTTTTCTAACATTTATCTAGAATAAAAGAATTAGATAAACAGAACTGCAAATTTAATATAATCAATCAGGTCTCTCAATAAATAAAAGCTTATTTTTTTAACCAAAAATTAAAAATTGGGATGCAAAAGTTTGTTTAATATACTTGGAAATATCTAAACATATAATTAATTAGAAGCATATAATTAAATTAATAACAAGCTAATTAACAGCAACATTAAGCTTAATTTCATTCAATCTAAAACAAATAATCGATCAGAATCTTCGCATAACTGAAGTTTTATTGCTATTTTACGTAGATCTGCATATAAAATAAAAGTTGCTCTTGTTTCACAAGTGAATAATGTACAGATAGTCAACAGGAATTAAAATACAGTAATTAAAAATATGACTACTTGTCAGAAGGTATGCAACGTTGTCATAGCTAGAGAAACTGAATGATTATAGAACACTCATAAAGTTAAACGCTACAGTATGAAAGGAATATTCTGGAGTAAACATGTTAAGAAAATTAGATGGAGAAATAATCCATAATTTATTGATATCCATATAAACTCTATGCTTTAGGAAAAGTTACATATAATTTACACTGAGGTATCAATCACAGAAACCGAGTTAATTTATTTGCTTATTTTTTCTTATTAAAGGGATTTGTAAAGAGATATGCTAAGGCAAAGGTGAAAATTTTTGCAGTATTTTTAAAGAATAAATTTAAAAAGTATTTTTACTTCATGAACTGAAATTTTTACAATACATTTTTCCACAGTAAATACATACAAAGAAAGAAAAAGCTGTGGTGTCTCTGGGATTAGAAACTCGGGTCGAACTACCAATGTTTAGTGACTTTTCTACTTGATCGTAAGACCTTCTGAAATTAGAATGAACAATATATTAAAGAAAATAGAAGATACAACACATATAAGAACAAAAGTGGGCTGAATTATAGGTTTACGTGTTTGGTGTATGAATTAAACTGTGATAAAATCTGTATGCCATTATGAAATATTAGAAATGTAGCATAAAAGCATTAATGAAGAAGGCAATGACAATCTAAACCATTGTAATCTAAATGTGTAGCATTATCAGTATCTGCTGTTAATGTCAATACTGCAAAAAAATTAAAGATGAATTATGTTATAAATCACATGAACTCGTTGCATTATAAATTACAACAGTTAGAAATATTATTAGCGTGATTTAATGATCCTCTTTGTTTACAAATAATTCAGCCTTAAACTAGATTAGAAAATAAGCTGCATGCTGAGGATTGATTATACTGAAGATTTACCAAAATGTTAGAAACACCTTCTGTTCACTAGAGTTATGATGCAAGAATTTATAAAAATTATCATTTAAATATAAATTGGCATAAATACAGTACAAAATATATGAATTCTACATGCATGAAAACTTGAATACAATGCAACAAAATGTGAAAAAGGAATGGATTAAATGGGAACTGAAAAATCCCATGATATGAATATAAGGGAGTTTTTCGGTTAATTATGAAAATTCTGCAGATGCTGATAATTATGAACTTATTAATTAAATGTGTATTAGAAATTAAATGTATGCCAAAGTACATCAGGTAGGGTAACTGGAAAACAGAAAAAATATTAAAACGTTTCTAATAATTTGTAAGAAAGTTAAATAACTTTAAAATAACTTCAATGATTAAAAACAGAAAGCTTAATAAGGCATATATTACATTAATATTAGTGTGAATTTTGAACCACTTAAGAAATCCAATTTTTAGATTTAATAAAGAGAATTTTTTTAATTAAATTAGAACTGTTTTAAAACCATTCTGCTATCTAAGAGGATTTGTTAATATTTTTCTAGACAAGAAAATTTATTTAAGGTGCTCTGCAAATCCGATATTTGATAAGTTGATTATGTATCAGTTTTATGTATGTCATTAATCTATCAATTTTATTATTCAAAACGGATATATATATCAGCAGTTAAAATCTACAACTTGGAAAAATTTTCATTCTTATAGAGAATAAAAAAGATCTGGCTCATTATTCTTTTAAGCATCACAAAACTTTAAAATGAGTGTAAAAGAAATTCATTTTTACTTTAGCATTCAGTGTTAGTGTCACAACCCTATGGTTTTGATCGCTTATCTGCAGTATTCTTTGGGATAATATATTTTTAAAAGACTCAAAAATAATGTTAAAATGTAGATCTGCTCCACATGCTGTCATTTATACAAGCATGAAACATTATAGCTATCATTCAAAATAGAATATTTATATAATTTCAGAATATGTATTAATAAAAATACTCTTTTTGATATAGAATGTTTTTAACTAATTATTTATCATGAAATCCATCTGATTGAAAAAAATATTTATTTATTATGGTATGGTATCACTTTACCTTCATGCAATTTTCATAAATTTATCAGTGTATTTTAACCATTATTATACTCATTAGTCTTCATACTCAAAATACAGTAAACAGTAATAATAACCACCTCTTTAAAATGATCACTTCTGAAAGTGATCAGCATTGTGGAGAACATAAATAAACTATAGTACTGAATTTAACTTCTCTAAGATGATCGCCATCATTTTCTGTGTGTGGTTGTCTTGGAAAAGATTATAATTTTTCTTCATACCTTTATGGTAAAAACTACAGCACACCACTGGTATACATATATCATTTTTTCTTTTCTAGCAAAACAATGAAAACATAAATAAACTGAAATGTTGAAACTTATATTAATATATAGAAACTTAAATAAATTAGTAGTACATTTTCTTGGAGATAAAAATGTTTGCCCCCCCGGTACGGTGTTGCCATTGCTCGCTTTAAAATTGTCGAGTTTGTTAATCAAAAATTCGTTAAAGTCTTACAAAATATGAAATCAATAATAAAACATATTCCAAGTTAGCGGTACCAAATGCCCATATTCGGTGGAGGATTACGTTATTGAAAATTTGATGGTTCTGGGTACCATTGTTTTATCACAATGCAAGAAACATACATATATTTATGCAGATTCTTCATCATTTAATTTCTTTAAATATAACACAGGGCAACAATATTTAGGGGCAACAATCAGATATATGAAATGGACATTTAAAGTTTTCGACACAAAATGCCAAAACAAAATTAATAGCCCTTCTGGGCTAACGTTCTTTGGGCTGGAGAAAAAAAAAAAAAAAAAAAAAAAAAAAAAAAAAAAAAAAAAAAAAAAAAAAAAACTGCTGATCTAAGTGATAATTTCAATTTACCTGTTGACAGCAACAGCCATTCTGTGGGATAACCAGCTATAGTGGATAGAGAGGGACAACATTTGGATTCTTCTTTTAAACCTTCATCCAAATGTTGAACTCTTTTCTTTTCCCATTATTGTTAGCTCTGTGTTTACATTATAAAATGGTAAGTGAATTGAATAACTGATATTATCTCTCTTAACTGAAATTCAATGGAAGTAAAAAAAAAAAAAAAAAAGTATGCACATAAATATGATAAAACCTGCTGTAAAATATATTAAAAAATTAAGCAAAGTATACATTAATGAATGATTATAATACTTCTAATTCTTTTAAGTTTTTCAAAATGAATTGAATCTTAAATCATACTGAAAATATTAGACATACAGAATTTTATATAAAGTACATCGTAATATAATTAAAAAATGGTAGCACTAGTAATCAGCAGGCTCGTAATTTGCTATGGTCATGTTATAAATATTATACCGTGTTCTTGTATTGTATAATAATTGAACATATGTAATATAGCAGATGTTGTTTTATGTAATAATTCAATATGATACAATGCAACAGAATGCACACAGCAGATTTCACAATTAACTGTCTGAAACGAAGCATAAACAAGAAAAAGTGGCAGTCTCCATCTCGCTTATTGGATATCAGAAGCTGAAGCTTCTCGAGACTTCAAGTGAGTGTGACTGACCAAGTCCCAATAGGTCAGAGTTCCATACATTGGCTAGCCAGTCTATGGATAGAATATGTTAGGGCTTAAATAATCTGCTGTGTAATAAGCATTAAAAATTCAGGAATTTATATTTTCTCATTGCTGCCAATCTCTTTATATTTCAAGAAATATATTTGATTGAAGACAAGTTTTTTTCCCTCCTTTTCTTTTCTAGGTACATTCTAAAGGTTTGAAGTTGGGAATTTATACAGACTGTGGGGTAAAAACATGTGCTGGTTATCCAGGAAGCTATGGATATTATGATATAGATGCTTTAACATTTGCTGAGTGGGGTATTGATATGTTAAAAGTTGATGGTTGTTATGCAGAACCAAAAGATATGGATACATGTGAGTATAGACTGATTTAATCTGATTAGAGTATGTTTACTTTAAATTTTAGTTGACATGAACTTTTAGAACAATAACTCGGGCTATATTTATTTGAACTATTCAACGAAAAATTTTCTTTTACTTGTTTATCTATTTTAATGAAGTTCACTGAAAATAAATGTTGCTTATAATTCGTTTACAAATAGGTGCACTGAGTCCCCCCCCCTCCCGCCAAAAAAAATGAAACAGTTCTATATCTCCCATTCTACTGGGCCGATTGACAAAATTGGCATGTCATTTCAGAGAAAGTCCAATTTAGTATCAAAGTACCTATGTTAAAACAATGCTGTATATAAACCTAATACATACCCTAAGTTGTGCTTTCAAGACTTGAAAAACGCAAGGTGAATTTCGTCAATTGGCCCAGTTGAACCGGAGATATAGAACTGTCCCACCTTTTTTTTGTGCAGTGTACATGTGGAATTTGAATAAATTTAAATGTGTATTATCCTATCTTATTACCTGTGTAACTAGGTATTTCTTATTGAAGTTAGTGAACAGTCTAACATATTATTTTCCCCCTTGATTTGTAATATTGTAAAAAAAGTTTTTTTTTTGTCTTATCCAGTTGCCACTAAGTTACTGCATTATGCATACAATAATTTGTACTTTTTTTTCACCAGGGCCGGCGCTATGCATTTTGTTCCAAATTTTGCCATCCCTAAAATTTCCTGCCTTGTACCTCTGAATTCTAAAATTCTTTGCTACTTTTAAGTTCTGCTTCTAAGTTTTCCAAATTTTGCCATCCCTAAAATTTCCTGCCTGGTACCTCTGAATTCTAAAATTCTTTGCTGCCTCTAAATTCTGGCACCTGATATGGTTGCACCAGCTGTGGTGCTGGCCCTGTTTACTAGTTACATACGCATCGCTGTATTATTGTTGCTGTATTATTGTTGTACTTACTGGCACCAACTGAAGAGAAGAGACTGCTGAACAATTCAAATCCTGACAAAGTTCAAAATGGAGTAGCTGCTTAGCTGTTTTTGTGGTTTTTCCCTATGAGTAGTGTGAATATGAGCCAGTTTCGCTTATAAATGTCTTTATCAAGGGATCCTATCCTTGAAGCAGACCATAGTGCGCTTTGACATAATCTAATTAATGCAATGCCGTAAAGTATAGCTGCTTTATGTTATCTGATTGTGCATTTTAAATTAATTTCACGTTGTATTTTTTAGTAGAGTGTAACAGTATCTTAAAAAAAAAATTCATAATATTTATCTTACTACGTAGTTTAGGCAAAATACAGAACCCAGCAGTAACTAAGCATGTAAAATAGCTAAATGACTGTTATTTAAAATTGAATTTGATTTTGGAGGAATTACATTGGCTACATTCGTATTCACTTTGCCTTCAAAATTCTATGAAAGACATTCCTTTGGAAGGTAAGAGACCCTCGAGAGTTTTACATTTAAATTCATATTCTATTATTTATGCAGTTCAAAATCCGAAATCCAGATATCCAATATCTGGAATGATCTAAAATCGAGACCTCTGGATCACCAGCAACCTTTTTTTTCTGCTTATCACTTGCACATTTGGTATTTTTTCATAATAAAACCATAGAGCTGTAATGTACTACAGAGAGAAACGGCAACCCTGAGGAGGAACAGGAATGTGAACCACGTGGCATATGGAACATTTCCCAAATAGTATTTCCCGCAGATCTTCCTCACCATTACAGTTCTATGGAGAATTTGTGAGAAGCAAGTGTTTTGCGAGAACGCGCATTGTTTCGGACTTCAAAAATGGTACTTTCGTGCTCCGCATATGGATGTAATTCTAGATACGTGAAAGGTGGAGGAGTAACATTTCACAGGGGAGCTTTTTCTAAAGTTTTAAAACTTATTTTTTATAAACTGTAGAGGTTTTATCCACTTTACTTGCTGTTTTCTAATAAAAATAGATTTTCTAATTTTATATAATATATGCATACTTGAAATAACATTTAAATAAAAGTATCTTAATATATATGTATGTTTTTAATAACTGTGTTCTGAAAAAAAATTTAAAATTTTAGTAATCTGATATAATTTTAATTAGTATTCTGCTTTGGCGATATTTTTTATAGGCCAACAGACTTTGCTTTAAATGCGTTTGTTTATATATTCTTTGTATACGTTTGCTTATGCGGACATATACGAAGTAGTAATGTATGTATTTAATACTTAGTAATATCAATGTAATACACTGTGTAAGAACTGCATAAAATTATGCTTTTTTTTTAACATGAATGACCTTATTTTATCCCCTTTTCTTTCATCCAAATATAACAAACATGTTTACTTTCAATCATGTATTTTTTTTCTTATATCATGTTTCTGGCATTTATTTTAATATTAAGAATTTGTTAAGTATTAAGAAAATAGTCATTATATAACAGTTAAATTTTAAAACTTTAATACTTTTAAGTTTCTCTTTTAAAAATAATGAACATTATTTAAATTTTACCTTCTTATTAAAATTACCTTAAAATCTTACCCAAAAATTATTTTTATGCATTTATTGTGTTGTAAAGAAAGCTATATGTAATTATGATTAGATGTCATTAGACGTTATTTATTTGGAAAGTGCAAGTTTTTTTAGTTATATTCAGTATAATATATGCATTGTGATTGAAATAAAATTCCTTATAGTTAACTTAACGTTAATTACAATAAAATGTTTTTCTTGTATAAAATTTATATTTTACGATACTAAATTTGTCAAGAATCGTTCTTCATTTGAATCTATCACTGAAATTTTTTTATTTTTAATTTCAGATTATTAATAATTTAGTTTTTTCTTTCCAGTTTTTTTAATTTTATTTTTAATTTTGTAGATGCCGATGGACATTATATTACAAAATGTTATTCTACAGCATGAAAATTATCCTGTTAAATTTTGAAATAAAGTGTCCAATTTTAGGGAAATTATTAATTTTAGCTGGAGTTTATCGATTTAACTTCTACAAATTCAATGGCAGCTTCTGTGAAATGACATCTTTCTAAGTTTGCATTTCGAACTGAGAGAAAAGAAGGGAAAAAAATCGCCAGCCGTGGCGATAGTGTGCCAAAGTCTGGGTTCAGTTCCATTTCATGCCCAAACTCCTGCAGCTCATTCCCGTATCGCTTTTTCACCCTGTTTTGAATGGCTATGCTCGGTCTAGTATATAATAGGTGTATGAATAAAACAAGAATACCAGTTCTTAATTTCACTTCAGCACTGATGCCAACCTGGCAAATCAATCTTTATTATTTTTTGTTTTCATTACTGCATGACTATCAACGACTATGAGATATAACCTACTGCAGCAGTGATGTCTATCAATAAAATATTGTGAAACCTTTTCCCTGCAACTAAGGGGAGCTCCCATGAACAAGCTATTAGGTGGAAGTGTAGGACAATGTTTGCAGAAAAGCCTCAAAAGAGGGATTTTAACAAAATCACTTGCTATAACCATGGGGACCTCAAATCCACAATGCACACTTTTTAGAACTTTCTCTTTCATTCCCCAAGACTGAACCAGGTACCAGGTGCTTGTCAAACAATGGGTCTTGGAGATCACTAAGAGGCAGAGCCAAACTATAGACTGTGTTTCTGGCTGTCACGCTAGCCCACTTAGATGGCTGACTCCATGACCATCCAGGGCAGCATAAACTGTCCTTTTTGGCTGTAGGAATCAGGTTGGTGTTGATCCGCCCCTGAGCTGCTACTGCTATAGTATACTACTAAGCTGGTGTATGCAAACCCAGGAGGGGCACTGATTACTTTGATTTTAATAGTGACTGAGTACCAAAGAGTATGCTAACCTTTTTATGTTGACATTACACTTGGCAATGATTGCAGACTTCCTTTGATGAAGTCTTCAACTATGAAATGTAGAGTGTGTTGATGAGAAGAAATTCAGCAAAAATTTCTTTCAATGTGCAAAAAATAAATTTTGTAAATGATACTCATATGTCACAAGATTACATTTAGATTCACAAGATTACATTTACATATGTCACAAGTTTGTATTGAGAATAACTGATTTATTATTCAGGAAGCCCAAGACTGGTACCAGACCTGGTGTGTCCACACCGGGCAGAAGAATTTTAAGGGGAGCAAAATTTTTAGAATTTACAGAAGCACTAAGCAACAAATTAAGGGTTGGCAAGGTCTTTAAAATTTACTGAAGGCTTTGGGATACAAAATTTAGAAGCATCAAAATTTTTAGAATTTAAGGAGGTACTTGGCAGCAGAATGTTTGACCCACAGAGACTGCACTGGGCTGCAAAATGTCTAGCACTGACCCTGAATAAGTATTAAGTATATTTGAGACTTTATTTATTCAGGACTCAACTAAGCTTTAGGCATGTGCAGAAAATAGATGTAAATATAATAACTAATATAATTAAAGCTTAACTTCATCAGTGGGCGACAAAAGCAAGATAAAATTTATCAGAAAAAGTGTTTAGTTACCAATTTCATGATACATCACCAATACTGTATAGTGGACATTAGCTAAGCTTTATGATGATAGCCACAAATTTTAAGGCTTTCAGGTATTACAAACCAAAAGCGAAATTTTCCAATCAGTGGATTTTATGAAGAAATGTGGAGAAGTGGTGATATAACAGAAGTTCTTCATTGCGATGACAGAGCCCCAATCAACTAATGGAGAGCAAAATCTGTAGCATGGTTTTAAATTCAGAAAAATTTGCCACAGATAGTAAAGAAAGTGGCAGAGATTTTTAGGAATAAAAAAAATTATGATTGATAGTTTAGTTTGAATTTTCAATGTGGTATTACAGGGCTTAAATAATGGAACTGAACAAGACATTTTCTGTCTATAAAATTAAAGAGAAAGTATTAGGACAAAAAATGAAGCAAATTAAACAACTTGAAAAAATATTCAATAAAACAAAAAAGTAAATACAGAGGTGTTTTGTAAATTTTCATTCTCTTAAGATTATAAATGCTTGGTCAATCTTGACATTATGGTAACTTGGCGATTTTTTGGCGAAAATTTGGCGACCAACCCTGCTACAGCAACCTGCTAGTTTTGTTTTGGACGTCATTTTGTTTTCAAGAAGTAAAGGCATGTTTTTTTTTTTTTTTTTTTTTTTTTTTTTTTTTTTGTATTCAAAATTTTTTCCAACAATCTGCTAGCCTAATTACGCTTATACTAGAACTTTTATGAAACAAAAATGCTTAATCATGACGAAGATTAGGTGCAAAATTGGGAGAAAGTGCAGAATCGCAAACTGCTTGCCGCGTTTTTAAGAATTGCACATACACGGTATCCATGTACACGTCGACCTATTTTCACTTAAAAGAACATCCCAGAATTGCACAAAAATGGCATTGCGCACACTCGTGACTTTATGTATGTACACATTGACCTATTTTCACGTAAAAAAATCAAAGAAAATTGACAAAAATCCAATTCTTCTTACTCTTGTAAAAAGTGCCAAACAAATAAGTGGGCGGTTCTGCAATTTAGCAGCGAAATTATTTCTAAGTGCTTATTATCTAAAATCACGATCGGAATTTTCCGGAAAATGTCACATTACATGTCTCATAATCTCTCATTTCTCTGAGACAAAATAATCTGTGATTCAAATTGTGTACTTCTCACATTATTGTTAAAGTCCTAGCTAACCTTTATCGCCTTACCAAAATGTCGCCAAAGTACCTGTTACCATATTCTAAAGATTAGCCAAATGCTTCATTATTTCATAAATCACTGTTTCATATTTTTAATTTTTTAAATTTTATGGGTCATCTTACTAGTTTTAGATCTAATAGCTGGAAATATCTGAAATTCGGAATTGGCAAAGTCCAGATGAGTCTGGGTTTCAGACTTTGTACTGAAGAATAGTATCATTATTACACACTGCCAATTCTATAATGACAGAGAGGGTTTGTTATGCATGGAGATAGTTTTACATTTCTAAAATTTTTATAATATTTTATCTTGAAATAATTAATATATTTAAAAGCTAAATTTATCATTTTATTGTTTTTAGTATATCCTATGATAACCTTGGCACTCAATAAAACGGGTCGACCTATTGTTTTCTCATGTAGTTGGCCAGCTTATCAAGAAGGTTCAGGATTACATGTGAGTTATCTATAAAAGTTTTTGAAAAAATACTTTTATTATTATATCACTTATTTGTATAACTTACATTTTAGTGTAAATTATGTCACTGGTCACTAAAATTGCTACGTAATATAGGAAAGCCATTGGTAAAATAATATTTATTTTGCAATTACATCATATTGGATGAATGAAATGATTAAAATTTCAGGTAAAATTGAGATATGGAATATGAAGAAATCAGTTCCTGAGTATCTGCCTGTAAATAATAGCAGCTGTTATATGGCTGCACGTGAGGTCAAACAGACTTTGTCTGACATTTTGGGATATTGCAGTCTGTCCAACTACAATTGTAAGTCAAAGTTTGTTTGTCCTACTGGGTGGCATACATTGTTGCTTCAGTCTCCCTGTGCAAGCCTTAATTAATTAGACTTTATTTGATATGACTAATTTGTGAGAGATCTGGAGAACATCTTAACCAAAGTATGGAGCTGAAGATACTGTGTATTGAGAGAACATAGGAGAGCATGGGAAACATGCAGTCTCAATTGCCTGTTGAAAGGCTGAGCAATAGAAGGTCCAATGATATAGTGCAGCTGCAGGCTTTAAATGCCCAGCAATGTAACACTGGATGGTGAAAGTGTTAAACATGAGGCCTAGAGAATGAATTTAATAACACCCTATAACATCAGTCCCGTGGTTGGGTGAGGATAAAGTACAATGATGAAAATGCAAGTTTCCGACATGTGTTTCCTTCAGTGCCTCTACAGTTGGATATGGCCATCATGAAGCTGTAAGCAAAAGCTGGACTTGTTAGAAAAGTTGATGTCACATGATTGATGCATTGTTTGTTGTTGACTGTGCATTATGATTACTGATTCTTGTGCTGTAACATCTAAGGAAACCAAAGTAGCGATTTGCCTTGATGACAGTTGATGGTGTTGCTGATGTCATTGCACTGTACATCTGGATACTTGCCACTGTACAACACATCCAGTTTCCTGACTTGGAGTATGTGATATGGTTGTACAATCCCTAATTTGGAATGAGGACTTAGTCATTGTCCAACCAATGCAAGCAGCAATTGTATGGTATGATAATATGCATCCCTATAAACTATGATTCTTCCACGACGGAATTCTGAGATGTACTGTTATGAATTCTGTTGTGTCGTCATCATATATTCATTTCATAAGACTTTATTCACTTTACAAGACACTTTATACAAAAAACGTTTTGAGAATTACCTGTAAATGCATTTGTTTTCAAATCAGATTTGTTTAATTAATATATATAGATATGCCAAGCAAGCATACATTCACACATATAATATATAGTAGTACATACAGAAAAATGAAATAAAATTTAAAAATAATGAAATTTAAGAACTATTGTATTAAAAAGTAATTAAAACTTTGTTGTGATTTCATTGGGTTTTTGTTTTCTTATAGGTGCTTATTTTAGTTTTTTATATGCATTTTACTTGATTATATTTTGTTATATGCATTTGTTAGTCTTTTTTGACAATTTTTGTTAGATTATTTGTATGTGGCAAAGCAAACAAGATCTGTCTGTCTAAAGGAAAGGGATATCTGCATGGAGGACTTTCTTAGTAAAACTTATTCATATTCATGTTACACATGGGGAAACCATGAAACCCAATTTGTTCATTTGGGTTTGAATGAGAATCAAGCTAGAAGTAAACAGTGGTCTTAGTCAGGAGACCATTGGTGGGGTTTGTTAGATTTGAAAACCTGACAAATAGTATTTAAATCTAATATTAATAAATGAATGAGATTTATAAAAACAAAATAAAATGCTTATATATGATACAACTAACTCTCGATATAGCACATAATTACACCGATAAACTGAAGGGTAATAACACTGATAAATTCAAATATGAAACAGAACATGCAGTACTTCTATTTAGAGAAAAATGTTTAACATATTTCACTGGGACTATCTGGCAGCAAAATCCTTATTGTCTATGTCGTTATTTTAAATTCATCACATATCTGCTGTTTTGACTCTTTAACTTCAAAACACAAATTTCAACAAAATTAACAACCTTATTTCACTATTGAAAATTCTCTGGATTTTTCTGTTATAATAAAACACAGACCAAACAATTTTCTCTAAACAAATATGTATCAGCGAGAAAATGCATTTTTGACAGCAGCTCATTTCGATGATGGTAAAATTTTTCTAAATATAAGAAATTTGTCGCTTAAATTAATTTTAAACAGAAAATGAAATAGAATGACACATTATGAAAAATATTTTATTTTTGAATCAGATTTTGAAACAAGAAAGCTGTAATAAAAGACAAATAATAATAATAATAATAATTTAACGGAGACCAACTTTGGTACATACACTTTTCAACAGAAAAACATTTGAAGCATGTTATACAGTAATGGTGTGGTTCATTTAATTATGACAAAGCACTGGAGGGCTAAATTACCTAAAGGGAAGAAAGTCTTCATGGAGGACTTCAAGGGAAACTAGCTTGTATACATGTTACACACAAGGAAAATCACAAGTGTCCAGCCCACCAGCGGCTGAGCGATAAAGTCACTCAACACTGGTAGTTCAGTCCGATTTTTGAATCTCATGAACAGGCTGGCTGCATGGGCATTTTCATGGCTTTTCCCATGTGTAACATGTATACGAGCCAGTTTCCCTTTGAAAGTCTAGCAGTTGTGCCACAAATCACTGAGTAGTTCAGTAGTTTATCCTTAGCAATATGTTCATTTGTATGTTCCAAAACTTAGAATGAGTTCAGAAATTTTGATTTTGTAGATGCTATTTGTTTTGAAATCCTGAAGTTTTACTTATGTTTAGATTATAGGTGTGACGGATATGGCTTGGTGAATACTCTTAGACATGACTCCACAACTCTAAAACACAACTTTATTAACACAACTGTTCATTAAAACAGTCAAACTTCTAGATGAATACTCGAACCTTCTCATACTCGAGATAAGGGCAATGTGTGTGAGTTCGCTGGTCATGCCTGTGATTATTATGAACATAAGACTATCGAACATAAGACTGCCACAGAGCAGCCCCCCAGTGACACAGTCACGACCGACACAAAAGGGGTTGATTGCAAATTCAATTTAAGAAATGCACATTCGAATAAAAGTTATACTTTAAAATGTATGTACAAAAAACAAGAAAAATAAAATATATGAATAGTAATATACAAGTAGTAATATACTTAAATTCTAATTGAAATATATAACAATACAACACATATAGTAATTAAATAAAAATAATGAAAAGTTACTAAAACAAGAATTTTTAGCAATTGCCAAACGTATACGATAGAAATTAATCTAGTACTATAACAAAAGTTATAGTACTAGATTAATTATTAAATCTATGTACTATAACTTTTGCAGCAGACCACAAGAGAAAAAGCATTGAATTATATTACAGTGATCAGTTTTTGGGAAAATGAACATGTCCCACTGTGAGTAATTGCTTGTTTTTTAGCAATCCTTTTGTCTTCACAGACTTTTTGATGTGGAATCTGAGGATTTACAGGTGTATCTATACGTTCTGAAAACATATACGCTGGTGTTAAGTGATCGATTGAAACTGTAATATTTTTGTTATTTACCTCATTAATAAAATTTTTGTCCATTCAATGAACAATGGTGTGATGACCAGTATAAGGTGCAGTTAGAGGAGGTTTAACATAATCGTTCTGTAGAAATACACGAGAACATTTTGAAGTGCCTGGGCATGCATATATTAATGGTTGAAAATGCTTAGAGATTGGTTTAACTGAATGCATGACTGATTGAAACTGTGACACATAAGATTCAGAAGGAGGTACGAAATTAATAGCATTCAGCATATCTGAGGGTAATGTAAGTGTGGTACTGTAAATAAATTTGGCACAAGTAGCATTTATATCTTTCTTAATGTTAATGTTTATATCTTTCTTAATGTTTAATAATAATCTGATACCCAACAGAACTATAGGCAGAATTTCAATTCATTTTGGATTGTTATGAGCCATTGTTGCACTTTTAAGTTGCCTATGAAATCCCTCAATTAGCCCATTAGACTGAGGATGATAAGCAGTAATTCGAATGCGATGTGTACCCAAAACCTTCATTAAATCCTTAAATAAGTGAGCTTCAAAAGTTCATCTTTGATCAGTTGTTATTGATACCAGGCAGCCAAATCTAGCTATCCAGTTATGCACTAACACTTTGCAAGTAGTCTGAGGTGACGTGTCGGCAGTAGATGTAACTTCTGGCCATCTGGTAAAGCGGTCAATAATTGTCATGGAATAACAGTTACCTTCAGATGGTGGAAGAGGACGTATGAGATCAATATGGAAATTTGCAAATTTTGCATCAGGCAAGGAAAAGGTATCCAAAGGTGATTTTGAATGTTGAATTTTAGAATGTTGGCATTGTAAGCAAGTTTGAACTGTGGTTTTTAATAAATTTCTTCACATCAGGCCAAAAGTATCACTTAGTGGTTAGGTTTGTTGAGGCTGAAATACCGGCATGAGAAAGACAATGAATCTGCTGAAAAATGTTAGAGCGAAAAGATTCCGAAATAAACAGACGAGTTATACCTGTGTCCATATTGCAGTAAAAGAGTAACATCATTTGAAGGAAAATAATGTTTCTCTGGTTTAAAAATTGCGGAAGATAAAGAATTTTGAATTTCGGAGTCCTAATGTTGTGTTTTGGATAATTGTTTATAATTAATGTGTTGATTATCAGATACTGAATCTCTTTCTACCTTGAATAGGGCATCAGCAACGATTTGTCACAACCTTTTGATGCATCATATAACAGTAGAAAATTCGTCAATAAAATCAAGATGATGAAGTTGTCAGGGAGAGCATTTTTCGGGCTTTTTCTTAAATGCATACATTAAGGGCTTTTGATCTGGGTAGATTGTAAAGGCCCTGCCTTCAAGCACATGTCAAAATTTCCTAATCGATAAATATATAGCCAATAGTTCTTGATCATAAGTTGACCATT